GACAGCCAACTGTCTGTTTTTTTCTTAGCTGTCTGTTCACATTGAAGAGTGTGGCCCTAAAAAGCTGTTTGAAAGCTGGGTGCTTGTGGACGACGGTCTTCACCGTGGAGTTCAGGCCACGCTGTTTCTTTGGGGCAGGTGACCCTGATCTTTTTCCTGCTAGGAGGGTACTAAGCCTGGCTACCTGGCTTCTCTGAGCTTACTGGGGCAGAAGACCAGCAGTCTCAGCATTCAGCATCTACACTTGTTTTTAGAGCAGCCCTGTTACACCCAGCTGCGCTCTCCCAGTCCAGAGACTCTTCCTTTCATGCTTTCCAGAGAATAAAGCTAGGCTTCTGCCAGGGAAGGAAAGGGGGGCTTGGCTCTGCTGAGTGGGAGAAGGCATCTAAGGCATTAATTCATTCTTAACAGACTTTCCACCAATCCTCCTGTCTGAGCCCCACCATCACGCTCATTTCCAGAACTTGTGATTCCACCAGTTTCTGGGCCTGTTGGGAGTTTAGGATGCAAACCAGGTTCACCGTCGGCTTTCACCTCTCTTCTTTAAAGTCATCTTTCTCCATCTTCTTTGCCACTTCCAAATTCAGTTGCTGTTGTCTATTTTCCTTTTCTTCTTCTCCTTACAGGTTTTTGCCTTTTGAAAAATCTTATACTGTCATCTTAAAGTGAGGTACAAGGTGGGAGCAGAGCTAAATGCATGTGTTCAAGCTATCATCTTCGACTCCTGAAGTTTTAAAATCACTGGTCACCACTGGCTATAGGAAACTGGTTCTAAAAGTGAACAGGGATTCTTTTCCTCTCAAAGAGTTGTTGGAAGAGGTAGAAAAAAGTCTCTATCCTTTGTTTAAAAAACTTTTTTTGTATTTGAAGACAAGTGAAATCTTCTGAATTCTGAAGTTAATTAAATATGAATCAACAAAGTATTCCAAGAATATTCTATAATATCTAGTCATTCATGGAACTTATTCTGCTAGTCAAGATATTTTGCTCAAGGAGCCTGAAAAAGTTTCCAAACTACACTGGAAACACAGACACACATAAAATCATTTCATTTTACTTTAATTGTAACCATATATATAATACCTGGCAAGTAGAGTTATTTGATTTGAAATGGAGCTGTGAGCAGAGTTTTTATTGCAAAGTTGGCAAAAAACATGAACCACTCTCTTCTAAATATGCTTAAGACTTGGGGGGAAAATGACAGATTTGTTGTGCTTGTCATAAACACGTGATTTTATAAAAAAAATAATAAAGCAAGCCCTTGTTCCTGCAGACGATTTTGTCACAACTAAAATGGAAATCCAACAAATTAAATGCATTCACAAAGTGCTGTCTTTTGCTTTTCTGATATAGGATCTGGGAAGGTTCATCAATCAGATGGCGACAGCGATGAGCGGTGGTTTGAGAGCAAAGCCAATGTCAAGTCAGACAGAACAGGTTTGAGTCCCTACTTAGCCTCGTATTAGCTCTGGGTCTTTGGGCAGGTTGTCCAGCTGAGCCTCACTTTCCTCTCTGTAAAATGGGCATAGAGGTGACAGGGCCACTTTGAAGATTAATGAGAAAACGGATATAAGTTGCTTAGTGCCATGCCTGGTACAAAGTAGACACAAATTCCTGTAATAAAACCACAAGAGGAAACTGATATCAAAAGGACTTCACTGACAACTGCACATGACGGAGACAATAGGCTTCTCTGACTTGGGAGGCAGGTGGGCTGCAGGGGAGGGTATGGGCTCTGGCTTCTGTTTGGCTGAGGTGTCAGAGCTCCAGGATGCTGCTTCCAGCCCCAAACTGCATCCTTCGCTGGGTCGTTCCACTTCAGTTGCTATAATAAATCACTCCACATTACAGCAACAACATCAATAACAGTAATGCCTGGTGTTGATGTGCTATGACTGTCTCATCAGAAACTTAAGAGCATTAGTCTAAAACTGCTCACCGCATCCAAAACCAGAGGGACTCTTCTCAGACAGTTAGATATGAAGAGGGAGCCTGAAGCCAAGTGTGAAAGGCTCTGGGGGTGTGCTTCCTGATGGAGGCCCGTTTCTTACTACTCAGAGTTCTCACATGGTGAAGAAGACAGAAAGAGCGTTTTGTATAAAGATAGTGAGAAACATCAACAAACCCCCGCAGTGCCTCGGTGGCACTAACAGTACCTGCGTGTGTTTGAGAAGAGTTTTCCTGGATTTCCTATGTAAGTAGTATAATTACAGTTGGCACGAAATTTTGCGGGGTAGAGCTTTACTTAAAATATTTCACAAGGCTCTATGTGTACAATAAATAACAATCATTATGATAACTAACCTTTGTTAGGGTTCCCATTGTATTCTAGGCACCTTATGTATACTAACTCAGTAACACTTCTCAACAGTGCTACAGAGAAGATAATAAGTACACCATTTTATAGACAAGGAAACTGGGCACAGAGAGATCAGGAGAATCTGGAAGTGGGGCAGTCTGGGTTCTGAGTCCTTGTGTTTAATCATTTCCCAGGTTAATGCTTCATCAGTTTACACAATAGCCTTCACACAATCATCTGTATCCATCGTCTCCCTGAGAGGCTCATTTCCTGGGGTGCTCAGTGGTTAGGAGAAGATTGTTTATGGATAGACTCCTTATTCATTCACTCAACAAAGCCGGGGATTAAATAAGCACCTTGTATGTGCCAGGAACTGTGCTTGGCCTCAGGAGTTGACTATTTCATAACAACGAAAACGGATTCTGGCCTTGTTTTTTTTTTTGGCAAATGCTGCTTTCTCAACTGGCAAAATATGAGTATTCTCCGCAAGGAGACACAAACTCAGGATGGTGAAGATTGGTTGTGTAAGTGGAGCTGTCACTGCAGAAGAGCTGACAGTGTGTTTGACAAGCTTGTGTGTCATCGCTCCGCCCAGGAATAGGGTCATACTTCCCGCTCCACGAAGAGCTGTAGCTTACCGCTGGCCCCAATCAGGCCATTCTTGTGGGGTTCTTTGGTAGTTTCCATTATTGGTATATTAAAATCAGTTTTAGAAGTAATACTTAGTACATATGCAACACCATCATAAAGCAGGATTTAAATGATTCTTTATGTGAATAAAGTATTTTATAGTTGTGTGTACATGGCTACACCTCAAACAAATTGAACATGGAAATATCGGCTTTCAAAAAGGAACATATCACAGGATGAGTCATTAAAGGGATACTCTCTTTTAGTGTTAAATTATATTTTTATGTATATTAATTTTTAAGAATAAATATATTATATCAAAAAAGACCATTTTCCTAAATGAAATTTGAGAGTAAAATAACTGTGTGGCAACGTAAGCTTCTGAGGAGTAGCTGTCTTCAGTACATGCGTTAGCTGTAAGCATCTCCAAGGAGGGAGAGTGTTCTCAGAACTTCGCACAGGGCCCAGGCATGGCGGGCACTCAGAATGTATTTACTGAGTGAAGGCAGGGGGAGGGAAGAGTGGAGTGGAGGGCAGGGCCTCTGGTGCAGCCAGCAGGTTATGCACAGCACAGCTCCAAGAGGTACCACTCTCACAGCCAACTCTGATGGAATAAATGAATGGAATGCAATAAACAGAATAAATGAGAGCAGCCTTCATGTTACAGGGGGTTGCAAAAGCCACCTTGAGCACCAGATGTTTTTAGAATAGTAGGTTCTGATGAGCTCTTCCTGAACTTCAGTAACCACAGCTGTTGACAGAATAACAGCATACCAACTTTGCTACCTAATGAACAAACTGAGAGGCCAAGTGACCCAATTAAAGGCATAAGTGACTTTAGTAGCACCTAGAATAGGTTTGGAGTCTCCAAAACCCCATTTCCTCTTTCTACTGACTACAGAGGCACATCCGACACATCAATCCTGCTTTTCTCCCAGTGGCCACACTGGGGTTTGGGGGGTACAGGCTCTCTCTCATACACATCGCTTCTTGTTCTTAACATTTATTCTGTATTGTAGTTCCACTATTTTTAGTGTTGCACCAGATATGTGTGCTATATTGGTTATAAATAAAATTTCATTTTCGGTGTTAAATGTTTATCGTCCAAGCTGAACTGAACGGCCCCCTTTTCCCTCTGCCCGGTTGAGACTCTCCATTTCTGCCTTAACCACTGACATAAATGCTCTCCAGCAGCACAGGCAGGCACTTTTATGCAGCCTCATCACTCTTCCTTGAAGGGACACCCCTTGGTCACACACATCGCCTCTATGTCTCCTTTGGTCTTTATGCTTTAATCATTTGCTTCATTTTCTTGGGGCATTTATGGATGGACTTAGTTTATGGCTATTAAAAACACAAAAACCTCAATTTCCATTCTATAAAACTCCATTGGGGCTGAAAATTTTCAAAGCTGTTTTACCAAAGCAGTTATAAATCTAGAGACTGAGGAAAGGAGGGAATTAAACACATTCATATGTTCTGATTTTCTTTTTGGTTTGGTTACCCAGACACCTTGTACCATGGAGGAATTCAGGAAGTTACTAAAATAAGAGACATTATTTTAGTCTTGCAAACTGGATTGTAGATGCATAGTGGACAGATGGGAAGATAGTCTTAAAAGTAAATAAACACAATTTTGTTAGATTATTGTGAAAACATAATCCACAACACACTAAAATGTAGAGAACCTATATGCATTTATATGTCCATCTAATTATTCATGGCGGGGGGTGTGAGACACATTTATTGAGTACTTAGTACTTGCCAGGGACTATACTAGGTATATAAATATGTTATTTTATTTAATACTTTAAATAACTGTGTATTTTGTAGATATCCTTATTTCCATTTTATGGATGAAGAAACATAAGATTGGAGAGAATTTAAGTAACTTGCCCTGTTCACACAGCTAGCAAGTGCTGGAGGGGTGACTGGTCCACGTTTTTGTATCATTACATAGGAACCTGACAATGACACCTAAAACATTTGCCACACCTGTAAGCCATTTGACAATACAATTTTCTAGTGTCTTTTCAAATTCTACACTTTAAAAGAAATCCTTTCTACTTACAACTTATGGTTATTCCAAGTTCCACATTGTGCTTCTTGGGGAGTTTTACGTGAAATGTTCCACTACTGGGGATGACAGACTCTGTAATTTCAAAACAAAAAAGAGTGTGTTTATAGACCAGGAAGAATGGAGCGTCCATCGATGAAAATGCATCAGGAATACTCGTATCATAATCATCTGTAGCTAAAGCTATAGCAATAGAAGTCAGGTGAATACCTGTATAATCCTGACAAACTAAGCTCCTGGTGAAGAACAGATGTCTTACCCATAGACACCTGTGCATAATTCACAGCAACAGTTGAGTTCAGTATTTCTTAAGTGTGATTCAGGCAACATCTCCCTCAAATTCACTCGGGAGGCAAGTTAAAAATACAGATTCCTGAATCAGATCTATGAAATCGCAATCTCTGAAGATGAAGCCTAGAAACCTGCATTTTAAACATATTCTCCAGGTGATTCTTAGGCATACTAAAGTTTAAGAACCATAGATCTGGTTAGATTCTTTTTTTCCACCTAACCGACTTTCCCAGAGTTTATTATTCAGCAATTTTTTTAATCCGTTGTCTGAAGGTAGCTGGGGGAACAGATTTCAGGAGAGATTTCAGTTTGGTGTGATGGCTGTTGTTTTGGGGGTACGGGGGGTGCCTTAATTTGTAATGTAAACAGTGACAAGTACCCTAGAGAGGTAGAAGCAGGAGTGATTTATAAAATATTTCACAACGAGACTGGCACTGGCCACACCCCATCAGACTGGATGCTGACCACAGAGCTGGAACACCGGGGGCCCCGGTCGCACCAAGGATGACCCTTCAGTTCCTGGACCATGGGGAGCTCTAGGAGATGCCAGGGAGGAGCAGGGGGGCAGGGGGCCCCGGAACAGGGTGAAGGTGGGCTCAGATATTGGCCAACCAGTACAGAAGTAAGCTAACATTGTAGCAACAGAGAGGGAACCAGTGTGCATTGGCTGAATCTCAACCCTGGATAGAACTAACCTGATTTTAATCAGACCAGTATTTAAGAAAGGAAGGAATTGCTACATATTCCTTCTTTTTCCTTTCTTTCCTTTCTTTCCTTCCTTCCTTCCTTCCTTTCCTTTCTTTCTTTCTTTTTTTTTCCTGTGAGGAAGATCAGCCCTGAGCTAACATCCATGCTAATCCTCCCCCTTTTTTGCTGAGGAAGACCGACTCTGAGCTAACATCTATTGCCAATCCTCCTCCTTTCTTACCCCCAAAGCCCCAGTAGATAGTTGTATGTCATAGCTGCACATCCTTCTAGTTGCTGTATGTGGGACACAGCCTCAGCATGGCCGGAGAAGCAGTGCGTCGGTGCACGCCCGGGATCCAAACCCGGGCCGCCAGCAGCGGAGCGCGCGCACTTAACCGCTAAGCCAGGGGGCCGGCCCCACATATTCTTAAATATACTCTTCTGAAAATTCCTTTGATAGTCTTGGAGACCTTCAATAAGAGATAAGGTTAAAATGGAAATATCCTCTGAAGAGACAACATCCAATCACACTAAGTTGCTAATAACTATAATCCTTTCCGGAAGGTCTTGGAGAAGGGTGGAAGGGGCGGCAAGAAGCAAGGCAGACATTAGCCTAAGGGGAGGACTGTAGGATGGCCCAGCTCAAGGCCAGCCCCCAAGCCTGCACACAAAGAATTAACAGTTAGGCCCTCAGGGCCCTAGCCCAATTTGCTGCTCACGTTTTTTTTAACACGTTTTGAGCCTTTGCAAAGCAGAGGTGAAAGCCGGGCTGGCTTCACTGAGGAGACAGAACTGGGTTCTCCCTTCCCTGTTCAGCCCTAACCTGCTCTTCCTGGCCTTCTGTGCTTCGCCAGGAGGAACTGAGGCAGTGAGCCTTTTACAAGACCAGAGTCCGACCTTCCAACTCAGGAGATTGGCCCTAGACTGTTAACACTGGAGAACACAATACAAATTTCATTTTCCCAGGCCCTCCAGGCTTCTAGAACAGCCTCTGTGAAAAAGGATCCCCAAGTGTCCCTCAGTCTCAGCCGTGTGCTGGGTAAAGGCAAGTCTTCCCTCTCGGGCCTCTTCCTTCCTCTCGGTTCTTGACTCGCTTGCCTAGGGGAGTGAGGGAATGTGTTGCCTTCTCCCACTTCCACCCTTCTCCACTCTCCTGTCCTGTCAGGTGTGGCCCAGGGGGTGTCAGAGGCTGAGAGTTGACACCTTTGGCTTCACTCTCGTCCTCAATTGACACTCTGATGGGCCAGGAAGGACCCATGTGTATTTATTAAGAATTTGTAACCTTCTCATTTCCCAATAGGACTTGAGCTAAATAAAATTATTCATTTCCCCAATAGATTTTTAAAAGACTGGCTAATTTTGATGTATTGGGGCAGAAGAAGAGAAATGAGGTAAGTGAAACACAGGCAGGTGTGCGGGACTTCCTCACTTCAGGCGCTGCATCATACATATTCACTCAAAGTATTTCTCAAGTCCATCCCTTCCCTCCGCCTCTTTCCTGAGTCCTCTCCATTCTCCATTCCAATAAAAAAAATCGCCACCTTCTTCCCATCCCTAAAGTGACAGTTTAAGAATTTGAGATTAGTGCAGACTGCGGGCAGAGAGGGCATTTGGAAGTGGCCGCGTTTTGCTCACATGCACCAACAGCCAGTGGGCAGAGAGGAGGGAGAAAGAAACAAGTGTGCATGGGGAGAGTGCTCGAGGTCTTGGAGAGAGCCTGGCTTGGCCGTGAGGGTCCTTGATGTCAGCTTCTAGCCCTTCCTGGGGCTGCCCACATTTCCTGTCCTCAAGGGCTGGGCAACACCTGTGTGATTCCAGTAAATGCCTCTTCTCTGTCTAAACGAGCTTGAGTGCATTTCTGTTGCTTGCAATGGAAAGATGTCTAATGAACACATTGATCCAGTAGAGGAAATGGGATGGGAGCTAAGCAGAAAGCCCCCACACAAGTGTTCATGGGTGTAGCAGGAATAAATTACTTGATTACTCGGATAAAGCACGAAAGCGGTCCATAGGTAAATGCATAAGAAGCTTTAGAGGAACAAACAGCTTTGCTATTTACAGAACTCATTTCATGTATGTTGCATCAGTGTTATCTGTTTTAAGAAAACGTTTGCTGTGAAAGGGGAGGGGAGCATATTGAATGCTTGTATGTACGTGTTTACATATCCTTGTGTGTACATAACATCTTGTCCATGGCGCTACACAAGTGAGGTTGTTGAATCAGAAGGGCCTGGAATCACTGATGTGGAATAGTTACTATAGCAACATTTTGCTTTTATAAATTTTTAATGCAGGGAATCTTGACCAAGATTAACACTGTTAATGACACTGGAGGAGATATTATCACTTCCTGGAAAACAGGCATGGATCACTTTTGACTACATGAGATCTGAAATATTCATAATGATGAACAAATATCAACAAATGAATCTCTTTGATCAAGCTGTGTCTTCATTTTAATCTTTAAATGCCAACATGATTTGTCTTATATTTGGTAATGTTTTTCCCTATACAATTATTTGGTTGTTAAAGCAAAGGCACATTTAATTTGGGGTTTCTTAAAGAAATACTAGTAAAGAGGAAAAAGACCGAATATTTCGAGAAACAACAGGCTTACGGGCCGGCCCCGTGGCTTAGTGGTTAAGTGCGCGCGCTCTGCTGTTGGCGGCCCGGGTTCGGATCCCTGGCGAGCACCGACGCACCGCTTCTCCGGCCATGCTGAGGCCGCGTCCCACATACAGCAACTAGAAGGATGTGCAACTACGACATACAACTATCTACTGGGGCTTTGGGGGAAAAATAAATAAATAAAATCTTTAAAAAAAAAAAAAAAAAAAAAAACAGGCTTAGAATAAGTGAACAGAATGTTTCTTTTGTTCGACTCCCATATGACTATTTTGCACTTCCCTGGTTTTGCTTTATCTTTGTTAATACTACAATTAAAAACACATTTGGGTAAACAAAGCCTTCCTTCTTTCCCATTGTTCTGCTTTTTCTGCCTGAAGCATTCATTGTTGGCGCAGTAGGATCACCACCACATCGTACTCCATCAACCTGGACACCTTGTGAGAGTCGAGAAAAATGAAGGGTGTCTAAGGGGGGCAAGTGTAAATGTTTTAACTCCCCACTCAGAGAAAAGCCCTGGAGGCTCCAGTCACAATGGCAAACGTCACCTGAGGACTGTCGCTGGGACTTCTTCCAGAATAAAGCTGTATTTTTTCCTAACAAAATAACTTCAGAGTTAAAGTAGAAATTTCAAGTATTCACAACATTGCAGATTGTATTTAAAAGACAGTATTGAAATGCTATGTTATGATTATAGCTTTTTTCGCATGTGTGAGGAAGATTAGCCCTGAGCTAACATCTGTTGCCAATCTTCCTCTTTTTTGCTGAGGAAGATTGGCCCTGAGCTAACATCCATGCCCATCTTCCTCTACTTTATATGGGACGCAGCCACGGCATGGCTTGACAAGCGGTGTGTAGGTCCGCACCGGGGATCTGAACCTGCGAACCCCAGGCTGCCGAAGCAAAGCGTGCAAACTTAACCACTACGCCACTGGGCCGGCCCTGATTATAGCTTTATAAAATTATATGTATGGTGGGATGTTGGTAAAGAAATAGAAAAAAAAATTAACGTTTTTCTATTAGAGTTGGGGTTATGAGTAATTTCAGCTTAAAAAAAATTCCATTAATGTTATTACAATGTTGTTTGTACCATAGTTCCCACCTAAAGAGACAGATTTAGGCCACAGTGTACTCAAAGTCGAGATTTTAATCACTCTCAATGTCATTTAAAATACTTATAAAACAGAGATAGCTTATCTCTGAGACCCAGTAATTTGGGAATTAATATCTGGGTATAACATGTTCCTGAGGAAGAATATTGGAACTGGATGGCTCACATCCAGACAATTAGGAGCGAATCCAGAAGGACAGGACAGTTTTGAAATAGCTCACGTCCAGAGGTTCCCTACCAATGTTCTGAGTTCTCAAGTGGCTAAAAGATTTTTCTGATTCCAGCAGTTTCCAATAGATTCCAGTTGATTGGTAACGACTAACTACAGTGTTTTATTGAGGATTCTGATGCTGTGTCTGGG